AACTCACTCCAGATCACACAACAAATGCAGGGCAGATCCAGGACTGAAATTCAGGACTCCAGTGTCCTAGTTCAGCTCACATCTCCCACAGACCCCAAGATTCTTTTCTTGACCAACCCAGACCCACAGCCTCTGCAATGAGCCCCACATGAAGGTAGATGAAGGCCCTTCATGTCTTCTCTTTCCACAGGTCTCCAGAAGTTGCTTGGCAACCAGCACCCTGCTATGATTGGCCTCTAGTTTGTCTGTTGCTGTGGGGTTACCAAATCTCCTCCTCTCACACCTGTGTTTGCTCTCACTCCCTATTAATGAGGCTTCTCCCCACCCTCCCTCCACAATAAGATTCTCTTTTCTGATCCACAATAATTAACCTCTCAGGAAACAAAGGGGGCTTTCATGGAACTATGTGGTGAGGGACCCCAAGGAACAATGCACTCCAAATCCCCTCACCTTCCAGCATTCCAAAATTACCGAAAACACCTTCTGTGGGTGGTCTTGCTCAGCAGTGCTCTTAACTTCCTGCTATTCCCTTTCCACCTTCCACCCTGACAAAGGCCATTCTGAAATCCCCTGGGAGAGATCAAATGAGGTGGAGAAAACAAACTGTACATTTCATGCATTGCTACTGGGTCACTGGATACTTTTCCAGCACTCCTGGAACCACAGGTGGGAAACTTTGGCAGGAGACCCAATGACTCTTTGCATGTGGATCTGGAGGCAGAGAGGGCAAGCAACCTAACATTTATTATTTTCCTAATATGTGCTGAATCGACTCGATGGCAGTGTGTTTGGTTTGGTTTGGTTTGGTTTGGTAATATGTGCCAGAACAATACTATGTTATCACATTTAGCCTGCCCCCAACAACCCTGTGAGGTTTATACAATTGAGAGTATTATCTAGTCTTAGAAATAAAAAGACTTATCAAAGCTCACACAGCTTGAAAAAAAAAAAAAAAATCACAGAACTGAGACTCAAATCCAGCCAGAAATCTGGAATACAAGTTCCTCCCTCTCCTTACACAATTAAATGATCACCAAATTCTGTAAATTCTAGTCCTAAATCTCTCAACTTTCTCTCCTCATTTCCATGCTTATGTCATTTTGTCATTGTCTTAAGTTCAGACCCTTATTACTTAGCAGAACTACTGCTTTCTTTGTCCCACTTCCATCTACCCTCCAGACTAAAGCAGGGATGGTTTTAAAATTCCAGCCTAATCTTGTTAAAACCCTTCTATTCTCCCCA